TCGCCTATCTGCACGGAGCATGCAAATGCGTCCGCAGTGGTCAGTTGATACCGAGGAACAAGGGCAACTGGTACCCGGTTGGTGTTGATTTCTGTCGGAGCCACCGACGGCGACCGGCCTTCCGCCGACGGTTCAGGTGAATTGATCTGCATTTCGGCAGTCTTCGGGACTATCGTTCGAGGTGACACGCCCGTGGGCTCCTCATTTTCGGACTTGGGCTCGGACGAGGCCCGCACCGGCTTGACAAAGTTTATGATCTTGTCGGAGATGCGGTGCCATTCGGAGATGATGTTGAGGTAGTCGACTGTCGCGTCTCCCATCTGATCCGAGTCGGAGTAGCTCTTTCGGGTATTGATATCCGGTCCGGTGAAAGTGTGGGTCTGATATCTACCTTCCTTCTGCAGGGTGTTGTTGAGATGGTCAACCATTGTCTTGACCAAAGCTGGATCCTGCCCATCCACCGCAATCACGGCTCCCCGCCGGGGTGCCGCGTTGCCGTGGTATGAGGGGGCGAGAGGGGGCGATATCTTAGCAAGGACCTTGATCTTATTGAGGAAGGGGATCGTCATGACCGTGGCTTCGAGGGTAGATCCGTCCCGTGCAAAAGGGGTCATCGGGGTCATAGCTCCCGGCTGAGAAGAAACAGCAGTGGTCTGCAGGGGAGGGAGTTTGAGGCTAGGGTCTGGGGGGGTAAAATCCTTAACATTTCGAACGGGTCTCTGAGGTGGCGCCAACTGAAGAAACCCTCGTGTATCAGAGACAGTCGAGTGAGGTGTGTAAGGAGAGACGGGATATGCAGAATCAGGGCTCCGGTCACGTTGGATGTTGTTTTTGAAAGAAACCTGGGGATTAAATCGGCGGCGCTTGTTATCCGGAGACCGGCTGCCACTCTCCTCAAAATGACGCTGACGAGGTGACTGTGACTCCCCGGTGGGAGCGATCCGGACCACATTTGGGGCTCGATCCATGTCTTTGGACCGAGCCTGGCTGCTGCGCACGGCGACAGTCTCGACCTGTGGAGAGACGCTATTGAACCCCGAGGTGCTGGGGGTAAAAGGCGGCGCGTCCGGTGATACGGGCGGGTTCATAACTCGGCCACCGCACCGGCTGCAGACTGTGGAGCCGGGCGGGTTATGGCTGATGCCAGAGCTGGCGTTACGGGAATTCCCATCGCGGCCGTAGCGACGAGGCTGATATCTGTACTCCGGATACTGCTGCTGATGGCGGGCTTTCTCCTCCTAAACATCAATCATGTTAACAAGGAATGTTCGACCGACCCAAGATGGTAAATTTCACTCACCTCTGCTAGAGCTTTCCATGTGTCTTTGGTGTCCTGGGGCAGTTTTCTCCACTGCTCCCCGATGATCTTCGAGATTTCAGGGTTGGCTAGCCCCGGATGTTGAGCCACGACTGATGCTTGCCAATGTTGACGATACAAGATAAATGCTGCATTCACTTTGATCAGCTGGTCTGCACATGGGGGTACGATAGCGACAGCTATCCGTGCGCCTGAAGCTACATACCGTTCCTGGGTCTGGGGATCTTCGGATCTGGCTGACATAGGCAAAAGTTGGCCGCTGATTCTCTCGTGGTCGGAGCCGAGGCTTTGACTGGGCTGGACGAGGATGAGCGCTCTGATACGGAAGACCAGTCGCGTAGAGGGATCGACTTGGTGCCCAAAAAAGTCGGTGGTTTCGAGGCCTCCAGGGAAGGTACAGTTTTGTTCATGGCTATCTTGTGCCGATTGTGGGCCAGATGCGTATGGGTGAAGCTGTCGGCCCACCGGCGAGGCGCTACGAACGAAGCGACATCGCGATGGTGATGGTCCATCACAGGCATTTTCGAGTAGCCGTCGTTCATAATCTTATGGTCAAGGAGACTACCGGTTGATGGAGGTAGCGTGACCAAAGAAGGATCATAACGTAAAGCAGGGGGCTTGGGAAGAACTCGATCAAAAGCCATTTAAGAAAACGCTGTAGAGGGGGTGGCCGACGAGTATCTTAAGGTGAGCAAAGGAAGGGCGCGTGTAGTTGGTGATTGTGGTTCAGCTGGAGTGAAAGGACGGAACGACCGCTGAAAGAGAGCAGAAGGGGGGTGGGAAAGAATTATAGAGGATAGAATTCGGTATTCGAGACGAAAGAAAGGAATAGAGGCGAAGGGAAGTTTAAGCTGATGAAAGAAAGACATGCACATATCAATCAATCAATCAATCAAAAAAAAAGGGCTGAGTAGGCTAGAAACGAATGACTTTGCCTCGTGGTTGGGAAGTTGCTGCTGGGCTGGCAACACACTCGGTATTCACAGATTCACAAATTGTAGTGGAAATAATAATAATCAGGAGGATAATAATAATGACCAGCCTGACCGAAAGAATAATAATAAAGACGATAGTAAATAATAATGAAAATAATAAGGATGATGAGAATAATACCAATAACGATGGGCAAGGGACTTGTGTATCTTCTTTTGTTTTCCCTGGGCGTCAAGGATAGGGTTGGTTTGCCTTTGCGTTTCTTTATTGTGGAAGCCTCTTCGGATTTCTTTCTTTCTTTCTCTCTCTCTCTCTCTCGTCCGAATTTCAATCATGGAGGGAGGGGAACTTTTGACAATGAATGATAGGACGTTCCTATTCAAACCAAAAACCTACCAAAAGGGAGGGCGCCGGGGAAGAAAGCCGGAGGGGATTTGGCTTTCTGAAGTGCTTTGTTATAAGAGCCGACTATCTTTGGACCCGGTGCCTTAACTTTTTTTCCCTTCCCTACTACGTACGTCTTAGGTCTTAGTCTACATGAAATCACCTAATTCTGGAACCGGGGTTTCTTTGTCTGTCTTTGCCAGGATAAGCCGAATAGCCCGGCCTTAGTTGGAAATCTCCACCACACAAGATAGTTTGTTTCTTCGCGAGATCCAAATGGAACCCCAAATCTCATCAAGTGGGATGCAGGTTGCCATACTACAATGGAATAGAAAGAACACCGCAATGGGTAGTCCGTGGGATGCCGGAAGCTTGACATCATAAACAGATTATGTTGGATGATTGAGAAGGGAAGAGAAGAATTGTTACTAGGTGGAGTGGTAACAAAGGAGATCGATGGGATGGGATAATGACGGTATTGACTGTCAACAGGGGGGGGAGGGAGGGATGAGGATGATTGAGTCATCCAAGTCACCTAACTAACTTGTACAAGCAAACAGAATCATGTCAGACTAACTCGAACCAGAAAGGTCCAGTGATGACCTACTTACCAACTTCCTAATCATCTATGATGAAGGTGATATTTAAAGAAGAGGCCGAGCCGATAGTTACTACAGGATGGGGTAGGTATTGTTCGCAATGTTTCCTTTGTTCTCGGGGAGTCCGCATGCGGTGGGCGGCTGCCATCCGAGGCCAATCACATCCACATCCACGCCCTTTTCCCCACCGCCAATGTGACACCCGAACTTTAGTGCTAATCAGGTCTAATGAGCTCGAACTACGGTACTCTTGGGGTTTGATTGCCCCCCCAAACAAGTGTACGGTACCTTGTACAGTACTCCGTACCTTTCCTTCTTCAGTCTCACTGGACCTTGTCGGGTTAACTACTGACCGTACTCCTGACAATGGAGTAGCAATCAGCCAACATAATCCCTGAGGTATAGTGAATGTGGACAGTAGGTACCTAGTATGCACTAGATACAGTACTTTCGAAACAAGATATCATCAGAGTCCTCCTCCATTTACACCTGGACCTAGCGTCATACATATGAGTATTCTTGTACTGTATGTACTTCCATTCCAAGTTACTACTGTATCTACGGAGTACACGCAAGATCCAGATCTAGACCGTTCGTAAAACCCCCCCTCCTAAATCGCTTTTCCCCAGGTACCGGTACCTGGGCCTCGGGGCTAAGCAGCTAACAGAAAGCTACCCAGTGACAGGCCAAGCGGAACTAGCGGTCCCCCATCCGGGCTCAGCGCTCTGCCTATTTTACCCCCCTAGGAAACAGACCGCGACAGATAGTTCATTTGCTTGAGCTACGAAGTTCATCAGCTAGTGACTGATCGTCCCGAGACTCCCTGACAGCCGCTCGCACCCCCTCTTTTTGATTCAAACAAAGGAGCAGAGCCAGCAAAGATCATAAGTAACTTTGAACTCTCAAATGTACTGCTTGTACGTACGGAGTACTGTACTTCTTAATCGAGACGAACCACACCAATGATAGTTCCCTTCACCCTGTGCTTTCCAAACCCACTCCTCTGCTCCTCCTCCTCCTCCTCCTCCTCCTCCTCCTCCTCCTCCCACTCCCCTACCCAACCACTTTCCCCTGTTGTTCCCCTCCGAAACCATGTTCAACTTATCTTGACTTTCCACAAAGAATACTACCTACCTAGTACCCACTGAAGTCACTTTTCATCTTGCATCATTCTTGATCAGCCTGAATCCAGACTCCTTCCAGGCCTTCGGGGAGGATATTGGTTCATTGATACGTTGAGGTTGCAGGACCCAGTCAGTTCCCTTCTCTGAATCGGTGCTGATTCAGGTTATCGCATGCCGCACCCATCCCTGGCACACCTCCCCAGTAATTCCAGGTCACGTTACAATCACGTTACAACAATCCTCCACCCGACTGAAGCGGACGTCACGGATACCCTCTGCTGCTTTTCTTCCCGGTCTCTCAATGAGACATACCACCTTGCCAATCCCTGATTCAGATCTGAAGCCGTGCCTGAGACCTCTGAACCCTGTCAGAACTCGGTTCAGCTGCTATCTCAACCCGGATGCTAGTGATGTTATCCGGTACCTTCCACTGGTGACGCCACAAGACTCAAGTGGTCTCACTCCAGCATCGCCTGAACTGCGATCGTGTGCAGGCCCGACGATAGAGAGCTGAGCCCAAGACCTCTTGGTCGCCTGTTCCGTCAGCGTTTGATGGTTTCGGGAACAGGCCAGTGTTTACCAGTCATCCTCTACAAGTCATCGCTCCCTGCAGAGCGAATTACGACTAAGTGGCATTGGCCAGGATCCCATCAAAGGAAAGTTGAAACATTTTCTTTGTGTGTCTTGCTCTTTTTTTTCTGTTCTCTGTCTGTCTTTTTTTTTCATTTGTGTCTGGTGGGTTTCTTTCCTTTTTGTTCGTGTAAAGAACCTTACCGGAGCCACATCTCCTGGATTCCGTGAAAGACCTCCATGCCCAAAAGTCGGTGCGCGGACGGTCCCAAATGCATCTCGTTCCTGAAGGGAAATTGGTCAGCCTTTCCTGTCGAGTCATGAGTGCCAAGGATAATGCCTTGTTCTTACCAAAACAAAAACTTCTCCGGACGGTCACACTTCTTCGTCTCTGATGTCACCATCCATTGCTGGCTGCTCTGGACGCATGCGTCTTCTACGTTTTCCCAGCCAGGGTCTTCGTTCTTGCCCAATCCATTGGTCTCCTCGATCCCAGCAACGAAGAGCTGCCAGTCGCGGATCTGGTCGGCAAGGAAAGCATTCGTATCGAACAGATAGATCGTGCCATTGCCCCAGCCATCCGCTCTTTGTCGCAGGTGTTGGTTCCAATAGTCGGACATGCTAATGGCGTCTTTCTGTTTCGCCTGGTGTTGTTCGGCCTGGACCCGGAATGCAGGCAAGAAGGTCACATCCGGGGCCAAAGTCAGGATAAGTTTCAAATCGTTGTGGCCCCATAGCTCCGCCAGCAGATTGAGCTGATCCATGATCACGTCCAGCGTATTGTCGATCGATTGGGTCGCTTCTTTGTATGTCTTGCCAACAACATTCCACAGGTCCCACACGCCAAAGGATAGGATGACAATGGTCCGGTTTTGACGGGTGCCGATCGCTTCTGCGCTCATCGCCTGCATTACTTCTGTCTCGGCTGCCAACCAATTGCTGACCTGGGCCTTCAGGTCGGCCAGGGGAGACTTGTATAGGTTGAGTAAAGAGCCCGATAGCTGTGAGTTATCCACGACCGAGCCAAAGTAATTTCCACTGTAAGACTTGGCGGTCTCGGCCAAATTCTCATGGTGACATGAAAACTACCAGGGAAGGGATGATTAGCCTGTCATACCTAGTGGGATGGGATCTGATCTCATAGCACTGCACTTACCGAGGAGCACAGCCATTCGGTCCAAACCGACCCTTGGATCTCAGCGGCATTATTGTCGCTCCAAGAATCCCCAAAGACAACTAGACGGCGGTCAAATGACGCTGCCGGGCGGAGCTTAGCCGATGGCTCATCGGCCACGACCCGGCGATAATAGTGCTGAGAGGCGAGGAACGAGGCAGAAAGCAGGATGCTGCATATCGCCAAGGCGCAGACGGCGTGGAACTTGCTAAAGAGGCGCATGAGTACGGGACATCAAGGGCCGCGAACAAAGGACGGCGGCGAGTTTGCGACAAAGGTGGTGAAGGCTGGCGCGCGGAGAAGCCGATAGACACTCGAAGCGACCGGCCGATGTCTTTGTTGCGTTGCGGGCGTGTTCCAGCCGACAAGGAGAGCTTGCGCCGCTTTTTAAGTTTCAAAGGAAGTTGATCAAGTTTCTTGTCTTAAGCAAGAAAAAAGAAGAATACGAGGAAAGCCTAGTATAACAGAGTAGAGAAGAGGAACGAGAGAGAGAAAGAGGAAGAGGAAGAGGAAAGTGGTAAACTAGTCGGGTCTGTAGGGGATCGATCTGCTGCGCCAACATCCAGCCAGCAGGGACTTTTTCCTGCTTTTTCCCCTAATTTAACAAGATGGGAGGGGGACCCGACAAAAGACAACGACGTCGTCTTCCGGTGGTACCGCCGACGATAAGTTAGCGTGGCGATAGACAGCGAGTGAACCCGGATAAAGTGGAGACGTAAGACTGGAGACTGATTTTCTGTGAGGGTTTGAACGAGTACGATAATTTTGGGTGTGGAGGGGGGAAGAGGGATGATAATCGGGGAAAGGGGAGAGCAGAAGAGCGTAGTAGGATTGAAAGGGGAGAAAAGAGAGTCAAAAGGTGACCGAGAAGAAAGTGCTTCCTCGCCCCCAGAGTTCAAGGGATTTATTACGAGTACTGTAGTATACTATTCTAGTTCTTCAGGAGTAGTACTCTATTGGGGAGAATATGGAGACCACGATGACAACCATATCAGCATCATTACTGCTGCTGCTGCGGCGGCGGCCGCTGCGGCCGCCTCATGGCCGCAATAAGGCTGTCAAATCATCTTCCAGTGGCCGCGCGGCGGGCTTCGGAACGGTAACCAGTCGCGTGCTCCAGGCTTCTTTTTGCTTGGCCGATTTGGAGGGGGTTGCGTCAGAGTCGCTAACTTAACTTACTCCAACGGGATCCTCTCTACCCATATTAAAGAAAACATGAAATTTTATGCCGTTCATACGTACCATGTAGGATATGCAGTCGGTAACTTAAGGTCTAGCCAGATCAACAAAAACCTGGGGACAGATCTTCGAATTAGTGATTACTCAGTATGTTGAACAGGGGTCCTTCCTGTTCCTTTCGAGGGTAGTACACTGAATCGTGCCCGTTGATATCTCATCCATACCTATCGATCGATCTACCAAATCTCTTCTTAATTAATCTATCTATCTATGTGTCAGCGTGCGTGCGTGCGGACTGCATAACCCCGACCGCTAACTATCTCCAAACAGTCAATCTCGACCGAAAACTCCGGTGACGAATTTCGCCGTGGGAAGGGAAATTTGGGGCGATTGACTTAGTCCACCAACGACTGTACTTTACGACTGAGTAGGTCCTCTACTTGCACGGGCGGGCACGAGACCAACCAGGTCGGATTCAATGCGACCGTATTATTCTGGTTGAATCTCAAATCCGTAGGGAGTGGGAGTAAATTGATTGGCAGGCATGAAAAGTCCTCCTGAAGGTGGCTTGATTTGTGCCGTTGCTTGGTTAGAGTGAAGGCGGATGACCCGCATGATCATTCATTGACGGGAGGGTGGGTAGGTGGTTTGACACCGTGTGCAACGACAATGGGTATAGGCGTTTGCTGCTGGCCACCGCGATTGTGTGTGTTTGTATGTGCGTGTTTGTGTGCGTTTGTCATGGACGCAATGCATGTTACATTGCGCATTGTTGCCTATGTCTGAGACTGACAAAGATTTGTGAAATTGTAACTACTGCAAGGGAGAGGGTGAGATAGTGGTGGATGTAATCGCTGGAGTACTTTGTTAGTTGCAGGGTAGGATCTTCATTGGTGCTGGGCGTGCGGCTCGGTTGAATGAAAGCAGCTGCTGGCGAACGAGGCCGGCCTGGTGAAGTGCCTGGTTGATGCCTGACTGTATGCCTGATTTTGTGGGTGTCGAAAGACACGTGTGGGTGCCTGCAGGTTCAGGCAGAGGCAGAAATCAGGTGCCGTCGGCTGACATAAGAGCCCTACCGAGAGCGCTAGCACGCAACGGGCTAGTGGCATTAGTCATCCGCCCACACAGGGAAATCTCGCTACACCACCAAAAAAATCCCACGAAGAACGAATCCCCGACGACCTGAACCTCATCGACCTGTCGACAAACCCGCGCCCTCCGTCTTGACCGCGCAGCCCCGTCAAGATGAAGCTCAACATCTCCTACCCGGCCAATGGGTCTCAGAAGATCATCGAGATCGACGATGAGCGCAAGCTCCGTCCCTTCATGGAGAAGCGCATGGGAACCGAAGTCAGCATTACCCTCTCCTCCCCTGTTTGAAAAATGGACGCGCTCGGAAAACCACATACATCGAAAGAAGAAGAACACACAGAACCTTCAGAAACACATCTGCACACGATCACACACACGACGGGGAAATGGATGAACAGAATGGCTGATTGGGATGAATTTTGCAATTACAGGTCCCCGGCGACTCCCTCGGTGACGAATTCAAGGGTTACCTCCTCAAGATCACCGGTGGTAACGACAAGCAAGGTACGATTTTGGAACGCCACTATTCTTTCGTCTTTCATCTGCTGCGCCGGTTGGAGAAGTTATGGGGAGCGCGGGGAAGGATTCGGGGGCTGGAGGATGCGCGCAGCAGACTGGAATGACATGTGTTCGTATATCGAGACATGAAGGCTAACTTGGCATGATTAGGTTTCCCCATGAAGCAGGGTGGTATGTACCGACCAACTATGAACGCCCAGCTACACGACAAACCAGACAGAAAACTTACCGATTTCGCCTCTTGAACAGTTCTCCTTCCTACCCGTACCCGCCTCCTCCTCGCTGAGGGCCACAGCTGCTACCGCCCCCGCCGCACCGGTGAGCGCAAGCGCAAGAGTGTCCGTGGTGGTATGTTCTACAGATCCGAGATTCTTGAAGATGATGGACGAGTCGGGGTGTTGACACGCAATGTTTCTTTTCCACAGCCATCACCGGTCAGGATCTCGCCGTCCTTGCCCTGAGCATTGTCAAGCAGGGTGAGGGTGAGCTCCCCGGTCTCACCGACACCGTTGTCCCCAAGCGCCTCGGCCCCAAGCGTGCCACCAAGATCCGTCGTTTCTTCGGTCTCGACAAGAAGGATGATGTCCGCAAGTTCGTCATCCGCCGTACCGTCACCCGTGAGGGCAAGGCCGACTACACCAAGGCCCCCAAGATCCAGCGTCTGGTCACTCCCCAGCGTCTCCAGCGCAAGCGCCAAAGGGTTGCCCTCAAGCGCCGCCGCGCTGAGGCTGCTCGCGAGGCTGCGTAAGTTTTTTCCCCATCCTACCGACTGTCTCAGGTCATTCGGATCATGATCGGTTCTAACAACCTCCCCAATAGTAACGACTACGCCAAGCTCCTTGCCAGCCGTGTCCACGAGGAGAAGGCCAAGCGTGACGAGCTCCGCAAGCGCAGAGCCTCTTCGATGAGAAAGTAAATATTTTTCGTCCACGGGGGATAATGGTCGGGTCTGTATCGTCTCTGTTCTAGTGCATGTTAGAGACTTGCAGCGTGGGAAGAAAGTTTAGGAAAGGAAATCTCAGCAACGGGAAGGGGGTTTCCTTCCCTCTTCTTTCATTCTCTCTCTGTCTCTCTCTCCCGCGTCCTATCTTGCACTTCCCGTAGCAGGGCAACGAACGTAGTCCACGGCTTCCTTGACGGAAGGAAAATTAGAGAGTTGAGAAAAGGTTGGGGGACGGAGGAGATTATGGGCGTCTGCGGGACCAAGACTTTTGGCGTGCCACTTTATTTGTTTTATCCAAAAAATGGAAATGCAATATCCCAAACCTTTCTAACGGGCATGAAAAGCAAAAAATGTTAAAATGTGTTCCCTTTTTTTTTTCTAACCATCGTTTCCCATCTTCCATCTTCAACCTGGAGAATCTCGAAGTACCTCGCCCCTTGTGTGGTACAGGTAAAGGTGGAATTCCGTGGTAAACACCATTCTCGCCCGGAGGATCGAACATCTACCTGCACTACGATTCGGCTTACTTCTGCCGTGAAAGAACTTTCAAGTGTCTTTTACCCCAAAAGTCCAAGCTTCATCTTCCCACCTACATACAGGCACCCACAGTACCTAAATAGACAGGGCTAAACACCACTCACCCAAAATGACATAACTCCGAAATCCAGCCACTTCGAAATTCCGATGATATTCACCCCTCTCCCCAAAAAATCACACACCAAGTGATAAATGTAGCGCACTATAAGGTCATGTAGTGTGGTGTAGTGTAGTAATGTGTGTGGTGGTCTCCACCTCACGATCCAATTCCCAACCAAGCCTGTCCGTCCCACAATCAGAAAACCCGCCGCCCACTTGCGGAGAGGGAGGTCAGCACACACACCGAGAGGACCGGACCTTTTAACCTAACTAACCCCCTTTCAAGCCCTTATCAATCAATCTGGGCCCCAAGTGGTCGGTGCCGCGGCCTAAGTTGGGTTTGCTTCCTTTATGCCTGAATTACATGGTGTCACTCTTGCAATAGGTGTAGGTCCCATCAAATCACAACAACTAGGGCACTCCTTGTACAACCAACCTACTATCCACTATGGTTACTAGGTACCTACCTAGCATCAGTCGGCTCAGTCAATACGAATAATTCCCAGGTCAATGGGACCACCGAATCTGTCTCAAAATCCCATAGGCCCCGATCACGAAACATGGGTTAAGCTGACTTGCTTTCCGACTGATACTCAGATCCACTCTATATCATATCTATCCTTATGGAGTTGACCTGGTCTGTAGGACTCGTTCAATGCGAGGGACTCATAAATGAAGGGGAGCGGTCGGTGTATATGTAGAGGATTGAATGCATTACTTTAATGTTGTATAGCTGGATCGGAAGTTAGAAAGAGAAAGGAGAGAGAGAAACTAAAGACAATGCATTAGTATCTGGAGACCAAGAGGCGCTCTTCCGTTACCACCGGGGGAACCAACCCACGAATTAATTGTCAATGGATATATTGGGCTACTTATAGTCCATTCCGTTGTGAGCGAAAGACGACGAGGTCAGGAGTTCGGGGCAGGGGCAGGGAAGGAAGTCACCTTCCCTATGAGGAAGGTACTTTCGGCGACATTAGCACTACCTACCATCTTTAACTATATCCGACGGCTAGATTAATCATTTCAACATGACGTCTGCCAAACATGGAAATGGAAGCTATACCTTTAGTAGTGCTTGCGAATGTGTGTGCGTCTTGGTAATTGCAGAATACTGTATTCGGGAACATCCTGCGACAGGCACTGTATCTAGATATATGTAGCGGGGGTGGGTGGATACTCTTCTCGGTTGATCAATCTAATACTGTGCTTTCTTCCTGTGGTACCTAGTATACTCAAGGCGAATTAATAAGTAGCATTGAAGTTCGTGCTCCAAAATTCAAGAAAACATCTCCAGATGGGGCTGCCTCAATCCTGACCGCACTTCAGATGGCGCATAATCTGCAAGAGCATCTTGCTCCGGATGTTGGAGTACTATCCTATCTAAACGAATCACATACAATCTATGGAAACAAACAATACAGGATATCTTCCGAGTCTACACCGTGAAATATCAAGCACAACCTCAAGATCTCTATCGTATCCATTTCATATTTCATTCCGCTCATAAAAGGGTACTTGGTGGTCGAAGTTCAAACTAAGACCGTAATAGTGCAAAACTCCAAGGGGGTTATAAATATATGTACATATGCTTTAATTGGAGTTGATAAAGCCAAAACAGGCAAAGAAAGAAAAAGACAGCCTTGACTTTTTCCACTCGTCTCTCTCAACCCATTTCCATCCATCGCGTCCAATGCTCACTGCCTCATGTGTTTCATGCAATCCTCATAATCTAGAGATGCTGCGTTTTAGGAAGGGAAAAAAGAAGAAAAAGCGAAGCCGCAAGGAGGGACTATTGCATCCCGTTCGAGCCCATAGTTTCATAAGTTAAAACATTCCAGCGTCCTTCAATATTCATGAAAGAGCCTGATCATACTCAGCATGGAGGGTAAATCACCAACGCAGCACCGTGCGACCTCCACCCTCGTACTGTCGAAAACCATGGATGCATTTAAGCGACGGCGTGGGAGAACAAGAAGCTGACGGATTCACCGTTGTGGGTACGTCTGCAGGCTTCGGCGAGGGTAGGGCTGATATCGATGGTCTCGATCTTATCGCACTGTTCCTTCTTCTCGGCGTGAGGGACGGTGTTGGTCACAACGACACGGCTGAGGCAGCTGTTGTTGATGTTTTCGGTGGCCTTGCCGGAGAGGATACCATGGACAACAATGGCGTTCACCTCCTTGGCACCGTGCTGCATGACGGTGTCGGCAGCCTTGACGAGGGTACCGCAGGTATCGGCCATATCGTCAACAATAATAGCAATCTTGTCCTTCACGTTGCCGACGAGGACCATGCGCGAGACCTCGTTAGGGCGGGGACGCTCCTTGTGGATCAGGGCGAATTGCAGATCAAGGCGGTCGGCGATGGCAGTGGCACTGTTCTGCAATTAGCACGTGCGCCCTTGAAAACAAGATCGAATGTGTCGGTGGCTTACCGCTTGGCACCACCGGCATCAGGACTAACGATGACGCAGTTGGTCACATCCAGATGTTCCCGAATCCACTTCAACATGCTAGGCTCGGCATACAGGTTGTCGACGGGGACGTTAAAGAAGCCCTGGATCTGACTGGCATGCAAGTCCATGGTGATGACATGGTTGCATCCGGCAGTCTGAAGCATGTTGGCCATGAGCTTCGCGGTGATCGGCGCACGGCTCTTATCTTTCTTATCTTGACGCGCATAGGGAAAGTTAGGGATGACGGCTGTGATACGTCTGGCGGAGGCGGTTTTGCAAGCGTTGATCATGATAAGCAATTCCATCAGGCCGTCGTTGATATCGTTCGGGCGCGTCGACTGGAGAATGAAGACTGCAAACCAGAGTTCATGTTAGCGGCGAGCACTTCTCTTCCCACCGAGAAGGGAGAAGATCAGCAGAGGAGGGACAACAATACCATCCTCATCTCGTACACTTTCACCGATCGTGACGCTGGTTTCCTGGTTGGAGTATTGTAGGACCATGATCTTGGTCAGTTCAATGCCAAGCCTGCCGGTCAAAGCAACTTGTTAGCCCATGATATGCAGTAGGACCGAACCAAGGCTCCTTCTATAGCGCATACCGAGCGGCCACGAGATTTGCAAGCTCGGGGTGACTGTTACCAGTCAGAAGCTTGATTGAGTTGGTTGCCATTGTGAGTCGCGAGGTGAAAGTTCTGGGGAATTGCGCGGACGGGTAGAATGATAATGGAAGGGAGCCGGTGAGCAGGAAGTTTTCAAATGTGATGGAAAATTGGACAACGTCAATAGTCAAAATAGTGCATGTCCAGACGAGACGAGAGGCGCATACACCGGTAAAACAGAAAAGCGACTGAAGAAGTCAAAGTTGAGATCGAATGCCCCGCCGGCGGGTGACTTTTTCGCCCAGCAGAAAAAAATGCCATCCCGTGACCCCGGACCCACTTCCCCTTACCGCCTCCAGACTCCCGGATCGGGGCAAGGATGAGTAATCGAGAAATCGTCAGTCGATTATACAAATAACTGTCTATGAGTCGGGGATGGAGGAGTATAATAGAACTACAATCGTGTTGATTTGTAACCATGGCTGATGGAGAGAAAGTACATAAGATGAGAGAGCCTTTCAACACAGAAACTGAAGGCAACAAATTGTCAAAGTAAAGACAGGATTAAACAGAGCAGGTCTGGACCAATCTAGTAACCGTGACAGCCGTCTGACCTGCACTTCAGGCGAATTGTCATAGAAACCCCGGTCCTGGCCATGCCCCTGCATGGAGAACGAGCCCATCAGCCCAGCATTGTACAAACTAATTCAGAATAAAAGAATCATGAAAACGCCATCATATGCTTCAGCATTAAGGGGACGGAAAAGCATGTTGAATCATGACCCATTGTTCGAGTGAACAACAAGATGGATGAGCGCCGTCGTTTTATGCAAACCCGAAATATTCGCTACCAGCAGTCATCGCGGTGTAAAGACGTTGCCTCAGAGTCTCGTAGCTCTCGTACTCGGGCAGATCAAGTTCTGCGGCTCGGAGTTAGCATGCGGGATTTTAGCCGATTGATTCTGTGTACTTACGGTTGAAACAAGTGTGGGAACTTGGAAGGCGATCCTTGTTGCCATAATCCCGATGGATATTGAATCGACTGACTCCATTCATACCCTCCAATTCCTTGAAGCCGTTCAATGGAACCTTGCTCGTGCCCGTGACGAACTGCAAGAGCTTAGCACGCTCTTCCTTGTCGAAGGAGCGGACGGCACGCCAGAACCACTGGATCTGGGGCGACGAGGCCGAATAGTTATGGTACTCAGTGTTGACCTTCCAGTCGTCAACGTCAATCTCAGGCAGACCAGAGATTAGCAACTCGAGCTCCTGCTCATTGAAGATCGAAATCAGATCGGCAGGAATAATCTCATGGAATCCCTTCAAGAAGTTGTCTAGTTGTTCTTTGACGGACCCGATCAAGCGATAATCGACGACACGCTGCACGTATTCTTCCTTGTTCTCCTCGGTGACCGGGATATTGCTACCGTTCTCAATAAGATCGATCACCTGTTTCTCACCAAAGTCATCCGTCTCGACAGCAAACGTCTCAGTGATGATATCTGTGATGTCGTTTTCAAGCATCCAAAGAAGAGACTTGTAGTAGTCAAGATCCAAAGTCTCCATATCCTTGATAGACACTGACCGACTGAGGATACATTTGTAGACTGCGCGACTGAAGTGACAATCCAGGACGCGGCCTTCGTACAAAGCCTTGCCGATGATTCGTCCGATGAATTTGAAGAACATCAGATGCTCTGAGTTGACACCACTCAAACGGTTGGGATGGAACGTAGTTCTGTCCGAAGCCACAGGAATGAACAGAGCGTAATTGGGATTGAACATGCCGCGTGCGAGAACTTGGAACCATTCTCTAGTCACACCGCCTGCATCAACACCCTCTTCACCATGGAAGCGCACATTCAACTTTCCGAACTTCAGTTCATCCGCCGTCTTGAAGTATAGAGACTTGAAGGAGTCGAGGAAAACTTGGTCACGTCTGACGGACAGCTGAAGAGGAGGGTGAGGATGGCGAGGCTCTGCACCACGAGAATGCAAGCGACGAGTGAAATAGTTGCGTTTGTTATCAAACTCGAGTACCTTAGGGTTCTTGACCAACAGTGAGAATGTGCCACTCATCAGTCGGGGGTTTTGCCGGACAAGCTCGTTCAGGATTTTGCGATGCTCTTCTGTGAACTTGAAGAAAAGGCTCTCCATATTGAGACCATTGTCAACTGAAGTGCTCGCGACCGAGAGCTCACGGCTGTTCCGCGAGATAGACGTATCTTTCAGCGTGGTGTTCTTGCACACGACCATCAAGGCTTCAATCAAAGGAAGAAGAATAGTCGCAACATTCAGCATGTTCTCTTTCTGTCGGATAACGGTCAAGCATTCGCTCAATCTAGTCCACAATGGTCCGAACGTAGCGCACTCGTATAAGGTTTGCATGACATCCTCTTTAGCAGCACTGGTCTCAGACTCGCTTCCCTTGACCTTGTCCGCGCGGTTGGGGTCGAATAGATAATCAAGCGCTGTCAAGACTCGCAGCAACTTGGCTTGATCGGAGCTAGCAGGAGAGAACTTAGCCAATGCCAAGCCCTGCATATCGGTACCAGTCCGGGCTTGGTGAATGTGCGACAGGAGTTCGTCCAGATCTGTAAGGATGACCGTGCTCAAAGCTTGAGCCTGCCTGACCAGCTCGTTTCCAATGACGTCCCTGGCTCCCGGAACGGCAGACAGGTTATTGATGGTAGACAGTGTATCTCTGAAGGTCTTGCCATTGCATTCGCGGGCTGCAAGGATATGAACCACCAATTGAAGGTTGTGATCAGGGACAACTGGGGGCTCAAGGGTCTTTTTCTTGTGCTTCTCTTCTTCAGCTGGACCCTTTGCCTTATCACCTGTGCTGGCTTCCGCACATTCTTCAGCCTGTTCCGATGTCTGTGTGGTCTCGACAGTGGGAACTGGAGCGTCCGTCATTGTGGCGTCTGCAGTAGAGCTTTCCTGTTCCGCGGAAGCGCTCTGCTGTTGCTCGCTGGGGCCCTGCTCGAGCTTTGGTTGCTCAGATTTCTTGCCCTTGGTCTCTTCCTCTTGTCGCTCCTTTTCTCGTCGAAGTAGAAGAGTCAGAGGCTGGGTGATGCTGCTCAGCAGACTGGACAATTGTTCCATGCAATTGGGATTCTCCATGATCAGCTTGCGATCAAGGAGAGACAATAATGCGTTGAGCGCAAACTTGTTGGCCCGATTCTCCTTGCCCTTGCCTTTGCGGAATGCCTTGAGCTTGAGGGAAGACGACGAATCATGCTCGGTAAGGAAGAACCAAGCGATCTGTTGATTGTATTGAGACAAGAACGACAAGGTCCCCAAGCATTGCTGCACCACCATGGTCGGAGTAACCTCGTTGCTGACGTTCGAGGAAGTCTGGAACGACAAATTGCGTTTGGTGGATTGTGGGGTCTTCTGAACAGAAGTTGGCTTGGCACGGAGCGAGAGCTGAGCAAAGCTGCGCTCAATGGCAGACACGTCCCCACTTCCATCTTGCAAGACAGAAAGAAGGAGACTAATCACTTCAACCCTGTTCTGGCGGTTCTCACATACGTTGTGGAGAATGTCATTCAATTGATGGCGAGCATTGCCTTGAAGAGGCATGAACATCAAGCGCAGCAATGTAGCAACGCCGGGTTTGTCAAGCATCTGAACAATTTGGCGCCGTTGCTGCTTCTTTGGCTCTTGATCGTCGGCTGGCTCATTCCTATGACGGGGTTCGACTCTGGTGATGTCGTCGAATTGCTCCAAACGTCTGCCGGGCAAAGCACGAGCTTCAGCTACCAACTCGGGACTCAAGGTTGCAAGGACTTCGTCGGGCTGGTCAGCAAGAATAGCTTGTCGCAAAGCGGGATTGAGGGTTGCCAAGAAATCCGGTACATCCATCTCCCCGGCGTGTACCTGGGCGCCTTCAGTGGTAGTAGCTTGTCTGCGGGCATTGTCACGCTCACGGCGACGACGATCAGCGGCCTCTTGCTGCAGCAACTCGTCTCGAATCTCCGGAGGCAAGGCTTCCAAGAATTCTTGGTTGATTTCAGTAGGCTCCTCGCCAGCAGCAGCAGCTTGGGATCGTTGTTCTGCGAGTTGCTGCATGATGACTTCTTCCCTTAGTTCTTCAGGTAGAGCTTCGAGATACTCAGGGTCAATCTCCATTCCAGTAATATCGACTTGACGTCCTCTGATTGTCGTGTGCACGCGGCGGGCAGGTTCCGATGGTCCTGTGTCCGCTTGGGCTGACTCAGTCGCTTGGGCGACCACATCGGTTTGCTGCACATCGTCCATTGGCTCTGGATCAACGCCCGCAGCCTGTCGCTCTGCTTCTTGACGGTCAAGCTCTTGCTGTCTCCTGGCATTCTCTTCTTCCTCCTTCTGCTTGCGCTCTTTTTCCTCTTCCTCCCGAGCAATACGCTCCTGACGTTCACGCTCTGCACGCTCCTCTTCTTTCCGTTTGCGCTCTTCCTCCGCCTGTTTCTCGAGTCTCTTTCCTTCTTCAATAGCAGGCGGGACCAGAATCTTCAGGAGAGAGTTAATCACCCGCTGGGTCTTCTCAACATAATTATTGCTGAACAGAATGCGAGCCTCCTCTTGCCACCGGGTCTTGGTTGGGGCCAGAGCGAAGCTCACTGCCTGCGAAGGGTCATCCCTAGACCGAGAGGGTGCGGCCTGTTGTCTGCCAAGCCCAAAAATGTCTTGAATACGGTTGGAAGGGATAGCGCGTCTGTCGACATGGACATGAATACCATCTGGACGAGTAACAACACCAAATCCAGGAGCTCCTTGATTCCCAATTGCCTGCATAATTGCGTTCATGAAGCTGACAGGACTGTCCATGGGGAGAAGGCGGCCGGTTGACACGGGTTCCATGCCATGAACCCAATCTGTGAACGCCTCATTACCGGGTCCACGGGGTTGGCCAACAGCGTCAGAGCCACGGTCAGTACGAACAAGGAGAGGATTTGTTCCGTCGTCAGCCCCTCCTCGGGGTGCAATCTGAGTCCGGGGAAGTCGGTAGGGCGGGATAGGAACAATGCCATGGCGACTGGGCATGATTCCTGTGACAGCAGCCCAGGCGGGTTGAGTGCCACGGAATCGATGATGATGACCGCGGGGCGGATGATCGTCAGCGTCCCATCCCCATGGGTCAATGAGATCTTCCTCGTCGTCGAACCCTTGATAGGAGCCTTGATCTTCATCGGCGTCCTCGAGTTCCTCCTCCAATTCATCGATCTCTTCGTCTTCTGGGACGACGTTAGCACATCAAATGA